GAACTTTTTTTTCGTCTCGTTGTTCACGTGTTTCCGAGGCGTTACTTTCAAGGTACTCATAGGCTGCTGCTGCTGCAGCTACGAGGTGATGGCTGATGCAAGATATACAGCTCTATACACGTATGCAATGTTGAACCGTACACGCCAGTCTCTGCTCTATTGCTGCTGAGCTGCTGAATCCTTTCTATTCAATCTTATTCTTTACTCTTTTTTTTTTTTTTGCTTTTGCAATGTCACTTGAGGTCGATTTTTTTGTTGTTGTAAGTATGCGCACGCTCTCGGTACACAAACGATTCGATACAGAGCTCGGCACGCAGGTACTACACGTGTATATTTTAATTCATAAAATTCCCTTTTATATATGCTGTACAGCGCACACATGCACTCTCGATCATGTAAATGACTCGGCGATTGTTTCGGGACGCAGCGAGGTACATATTATGCCGGGTAAGCCGCGCGATCCAATTCGAATTTTCGGAATTATTTATTTGTGCTTTATCGTACATAAGTATACACAAACGAGAGGCAGAGAGAAGGCCGCGGCGCGATTCTTAAATAATTTCACTCGTGCTCTCGGCGCGGTGCTCCTTTTTTTACAACAGGAAATTGCCGCCGACACCGCCACAGCCGCACGCTGACCCAACTTCTGATTCGATTTAACCATTGTACAATACGTATAAATATATGTAATAAAACACGGAGCCTGTATAGCATTTCTGTGCAGCTTTTTAAGAATGACTAATTTACTCGCACTTGTCGCACAGTCCGCGTAGAAGGTATATAAGGTATATTATACATGTATATATAGCGGCGTGGCAGTGGGCAACACTACTATACGGCAGCGGCACCAACACGTGTGAGGAAACAATTCGCAATAGATTTAGCAACGACTTATGTTACCGAGAAAATATGTCTGTGTAATCATGCTTTACAGACACACTCGCTCGCTCACTCACGCACACACACACACACACTAGCCCAGAGCGTGGGAATTTGCAATGAACATTTTTTTTTATTATTCAAAGTTACGCACATTAATTGCGCTTAGGTAAAAGTGATTTATAAAAAAAAAGTGGAAAAAAAACAATTTATTTTATTACATCTCGAACGGAGAGGCGAGTAGTACCTTTTAGATTTTATATTCGTTCAAAGTCAAGCAGGGCCAACTCATTTTTCGTACACGATTCAATTTTTTTTGTCTCCGGTAGAAACGGCGGGAACACGTTTTTTGCTATTCCACTGTAATATAAAGCCATTTGTACATACGCAGGCGTTAAATTGACGAGAGGTGTCCTAAGTCCTTTAGTAAAACGATCTCGCACATTTGAGCCTCTATGCACGTGTGTCATGCGTAAATATTAATTCGCCGTATCATAGCACGATATATCATGAACTTTTACTTTTTAGCATAGGCAATGACACTTGATACGAGCGATTGACTTTCCTGCGTCTCTGAGCGCGATATCATGCACGTAATCCAGCGTACCTTAAAAATGAATTTTGACGTGCATTGTAGCATTAAAGTTTTGACTTATCATACATAGGCCCGCGAGCGCAGCCATATGTATATCCATATATAACCATACTACCGACGTGACCCTTCGAAATGTGCAGCGCCCGTCGACGAATCGGGCCTTACGTAATTCCGCTCGGGCTCGCGCGCGCGCGAGTCTCTCAAGCTCGACTCTCTTAGGTGCATAAAAATAAAAATAGCTATGACTCCAATTGCATACTTATAGATAGGCCGCATGAGAGCAGCAGCAGCAGCAGCAGCCGCCGCGCGGTGGGTATAACACAGCCAGAGAGACTGTACATAAGAGAATGGAAAGTTGGCATTTATAAGTGTATAATATACCTGTATATACTATAATGGTATACATCTAATACACTGGCTTATATTTGCAGCTGCTGCCGCGGCTGCTCCCGCGAGCTAGCTGATGTTTAGTCTCGATTCGCAAACGAGAGTGAAACTCTTCCGACGCGACGACAATTCTCTCGGCTCGCTTATAAACTTTAATTAAGCATTATGATGATGGTAATGATGATGATGACGATGCGAGTAAGCGCATGTAAAAGTATAATAACGTGGCGCTCGCGCGCATGCAAAGTGAATCGCCCATATAGTAGCTGAGATTTATGCGACCTCGCGGCGCTTAATACACGAAAATATTTGATCGGCTTCGTTTTTTCCCCCCGTTTTATCTTTCTTCATTTCTATTTCCTTGTTCGCGCAACGAAATCGCGACGAGGCACGTTGATAACTTACACTCGAGAGGAAAGAAGAAAAAAAAAGTGCAACATCATCGCACCATTTACTACGTGACATTTAAAGGAGTAATGACCTTTACCGGGCGCTCGAGCGCTCGATCGCGTTCGCGCGAGCCTGTCCGCGTTGGAAAGCTGCGCCGATAATAATATGGTATGCTCGCGGTAAAAATATATATAGGTAGATGCGGTATAAAGCAGCAGCAGCAGCATCCATCCATCCATCAAGTATATTTCAATGAGCGGATCGCACGATCATTGAACAATTTGTCATCCATTCGACTCGAGTTATTTTATATATATTATATATACTGTATATGAGATAAGTGATTATTGTTACCGTAAAAAAAAAAGATTATAAAAACCATGCAACTGCCGATGCGTAAAATAGTGTCCCGAGCGCGTACATAAATATTTTCTCGTTTATAAAGGATACATTATAAATATTCGTCGGTCGTGTGTATAAATGTAGTTTTAATGGTAATAACGCAGCTCGAAGAATGCGACGAAGTGAATTCCTTTTTTTCTCATCCAAGCGCAGGGAACCTCTTTTTTGCAATTCCACATACGTCAAAATTTACCCAGATATTCCATCCATCCATTAAATGGCGAGGTAACAAAAAAAAAAGATCTCCCGTTACGAAGAGTCATATTTACGCACGCATGTATGTGTGTATGTACGTACCGACCAATACCGCGTGTGTGGCGCACGAAAATGTGTGCTTTTTCTCATATATATAATATATATTCTCCCGCGAATCGGTTGACGTAACGATCGCGCGCGCGCGCGGCATGTCCGCGTGGCTCGCGTCTGCATGCGTTGTGTGCACCATTTTCAATTCCTCCGTACATTAACCATATAGACATATGTGTGTGAGTTTATATTATGTGCATTTCGTTGCGCTGCGCACACGCATGTGAAAAGTACATATTTATAATGTACTCTGTGCGCGATGTGTATATGTAACGCATTTTCTGCAATTAAAGTGTGTTTTTGCTGGTGATCTTGGGCGAAGAGAGTAAGTTAATGGTGGATTAGAAACACAAGATTATCGTACAGTTGTATAAGATTCCATCAATATTATTGATTTATTTTCACTGCTATATATACATTTTCAGAATTGCTATAATTATAATTATTATTCTTCGTTGTTATCTCCGTTGGCGATTCGTTGTGTTGCTCGGGTGTTATTCAACACACGCTCGCACGCACACATACACTCTTTTCCGTAGATAATCTAATTTTTTTCCCTCCCGTTTTCTTCATAATTAAATATTAAAATTATTATTACATAATAAATGCTTCGTATCTACAGAGAAGTAAAAACGTTTCAAGTTCAATGAAAAGATGACTTATTTACATTAACGTTACGAATACTTTTTACAATATAGGTTTATAGTCATTTTTTTTAAATCCTTTTTATAATATATCGTTATACGGTAAATGAATATGTCATGTACATTGCATGGAACAATTAGCCACCATTACTTGTTTTTTGTATTTTTTTTTGTTTGATTTTTTTCAACTTTTTTTCGATATATTAACATATTCGTGAGTATTATTTCGTCCTCCTGGGCTCTCTCCTCGTCATCGTCGTCGTTACACAAAAATGTATTTACACACTAAGGAAAATAAATATATAATATAATAATCGGCTATTCTTTAAAGTATTCGTTTTGACTTGATACGTGGATTTGGACTATTACATAATATATATTATAATTATATACTTGTAAATCATTTTACTAATTCCACCCATTGTCGTCGTACATAAAAAAAGTATATAATAATTGAGTATAAAATTACTATACCGCAAAGATATTGAGCGAGAAAAACACCCGAAACGAATGCGCGTCTATATATAATGTAATAAGGCATCGTTTGAATCTCTTCCGATTAAGAATCTATAAAATGGAGTTACGATAAGAATTTTCTTTTCTCGTCTTGCTTTCTTATTATTATTATTATAATACGCATGCATCTCTGTTACAATCCACCTTTGATTATGAGCATAAAAACCCTTTCTTCGACAAAAAGATCGGCGATATCTGTGGTACGCACCGATTTCTTCGCCGATTACACTTCCGTCTTCTTTTCTTTTTTTAATCGTTAAAAATAATTGTTATTCATCATAATGTATATTGCAATTGATCCACTTTTAATATAAATTAACCCATCGGACTGAATCATTCAAAGCTAATGGTATTAGTTCATCATAATATCGTACACACTGCGAGATTCGCGTCGTTAGCAAAAAAAAAAAAAATGAATAAATAAAAAAAAATAGGAAAAAAAAGTCAGAATAAAAAAAGAAGAAGAACCAACGCGATTGACGCGTCGTGAAACTTCTCTTTTTCCACGCAACCTCTTACATGTATATTCCAAATGAAAAAATGTGAATTGACTAAATAGTATACATAGGTACATTTAAAAAATACATAATTATTATATAGCTGCAAAAATACTTGCGGCGAACGTAATGTATGCGCGTATTTTCATATATATTATATACTCGGTATACATACGCGCAATTTTTTTGATGGGAAGAAAATACTTGTAAGTATCGTAATACATATAGAAAAGAGCAAAAAAAAGTTATTAATTGGCATGGCGCTTGGTTGCATAATAAAATGACTCGAACAAAAAAAAAAAAAAGAAAAAGAAAAAAGAAAGAAAATAATAAAACATCGTCTCTCTATCTCTCTCAGGCAACGATCTCACATTATCGCACGAGTGGCGGACGATCAGTGATAAGGACTGAGCGGCAGGGGCGCCTGTATGGGCGGCAGATGATCGCCGCAGCGCGGGAAGTTCGGCGGGATCGGCGGCAGATCGCCGTGAGTGCCCACGTGCAGTATGAGATTCATGCCGATGACTATGTGAAAGAGGAAGTGGCAATGGAAGAGCCAGTAGCCGGGATTGTCGGCGCGGAAGCGGAACACCACGTAGCCGTTGTTCGGCACGGCGATCGTGTCCTTGCTCGGCGGCAGATTGAACTCTCGGTGAAGCAGTCCGCGCCTGTCCAGATCGATGGCGTGCTTGAGATTGATCTTCTTGACGTTCTTGTCGGGCGAGCGGCCAATGCCGACGACCTTGAACGAGTAGCCGTGCAGATGGAACGGATGGGAGAGATTCGGCTGCTGGACCTCGTCGACGAGGACGACCTCGACGACGGCGTTGAGCGGCACGTCGACCTTGTGCGTGCACATGCAGTTGGCGCCGCAGTCGGCGGGCCGATTGTCGCCGTTGCAGAACTGCTCGGGCGGTATGTCCTGGATCTGGGAGAGCGGCGGCGACGGCGGGAACGTGAACGAGATCTCGTCCACAAGGGAGATGACGTGATCGCCCGTGGGCGCCACGAGATAGCGATTGTACGTGTTGGGCTGGAACACCTCCTCGGGCCTGTAGCCGAGGAAGCGGAACGGCAGGAAGATCTTGACGTCGGGCCGCTCCTGCAGCAGTCCCTCGTCCACGTGGCCGGCGTTCTTCAGCTGACTGACGCAGACGGCGTCGTCGCGCGGCCTGTTGCAGATGGCGTCGAGGGGATTGAGCACCACGCCCTGGGGCAGACCCACGTCGTAGGTCGGCGGCCGGGCGGCCGGCTGATAGGGTCCGCGCGCGTAGCGCAGTATGCCGAGCTGCTGGGCGCGCTTGATGCCGCACTCGCCGAGGCCGCGCAGCTGTATCCAGTAGGCGCCCACCGGCTGATTGGCCGTGACGACGAAGTCGTAGCGCTCGCCCGAGAACGAGATGATGGTGTTGACGTTGACCGGCTGCACCGGTTCACCGTCGGTGGCGATGATGGTGAGATCGTGGCTCTGGAAGGTGATCTGAGCCGGACAGACCGAGGCGAACGCGTTGATCAGGCGGAAACGATAGCGACGACCCGGCGTGATGGTGAACACCTCGAGGGGCGTGTTGGTGACGAAGCCCGTGTTGGGGTCGCGGAACTGACCCTTGCCGTTGATCAGCACGGTCTCGGGGTCCTGGCCGACGTTCACGGCCAGCCTACCGGGGAAACGCTCGGCGGCGTCCTCGTGCATCCAGTCGCTGATGAGCACCACGTGGGTCGTCAGGTCGTAGTCGTAGAGCTTGCTGTTCGGGTCCTTGCTCGGCGGCTGGCGCACTATCACGCTGCCGTACAGGCCGTCGATCTTCTGCAGACCCGTGTGAGCGTGCCAGAAGTGGGTGCCCGCGTTGCCGGCCGTCCACTGGTAGCGGAACGACGTGCCGGCCGTGATCGGGCACTGGGTGACGAAGGGCACGCCGTCGTAGTACTGCGAGCCCTTCTGCCAGACGCCGTGCCAGTGGAGCGTGACCTCCTGGCCCTCCATGTGATTCTCCACGTCGATGACCACTCGATCGCCCTCGCACACCTGTATGCTCGGGCCGGGGATCATTCGGTTGGCCGTGAGGATGCCGCGCTCTACGCCGTCAGCCAGCACGCACTGGCAGTGGCTCCACACGGTGTTGGTGGCGTTGGGCGTGCACACCTGGCAGGCCGCACCGAGCACCGTGTAAAACTCCAGGGTGAAGTGATAGTAACAGATGCGGGGGGGCTCGCCCTCGCGACAGGCGCGGGCGCACTCGTCGGGCGCCGAGAGCGACGGATTACGGCGCAGCTCGGCGGTGGCACGTTCGCTGTAGTCCAGGGGTCGCGAGCGCAGTGAGCTGGCGGGCGGCCGGGCGGTCGAGCCCCAGCGACCGCCGAGATTGTCGATGCCGCCGAAGCCCGCCTGGAAGATGGCCGAGTCCGGGTGGGTCTGGACCAGGCCGTGGCTGGCCGAGAAGTAGCGGGCCGACTGGTCGTCGGCGGTCACCTGGCCGAACAGCGGATTGCCGGCGGTCTTGATCGACGGCGTCCAGAACTGCGACTCGGCCGTGGACTGATCGCTGCTGTTGCTGCTTTTAGAGGCCGTCGTTTTGGGCTTTAGCTTGGCACCCACGGGTAGGGCTGTCTTGCTGGAGCTGGAGGACGATTTGGCACTGCTGGCACTGCTACCGCTGCTGCTGCTGCTGCGGGCTGCATCGGATCTCACATGGGAGACGAGCAGCAGTAGCAGTAGAAGCGCCGATTTGGCGCCGATCTTTGTGGGTTTCATGTTTAGCGATTTATCGAGGAGAAAACACGCGCACGCACACACACTCAACAAACACGAGCACTGGTTTGGATTATACGGGTAAAACAAACAAACAGGTTGAGCAAAAAAACAAACGAGCGAAAATGCTGTGCTGGCCGATTATCGGAGCGACAATTACCGATCGCAGATTTTCTGCTACACGAGCTCTGTGCAGACTACTCTCGTTTGCGCTCGCAGCAGCGAGTATATCTATATACTGGTTCGTTGTCGTCGCCGAGTCCTTTCACGCTGTTAGCTGTTGCTGTTGCTGCTGCGCAGCGGCTGCACACACAGCTGCAGCGGTCGCTGCTGGTGTATACACGTTGTACGTGTCGTGTATTGCACAAACTTGCGCGCGGCACAGGCTTGGCGCCTCTCGATATCTCTGCTGTGTGTGGGTTTTCTGTGTGTGTGTGTGTGTGCTTTTAAAAAAGGCAATCACACGCCAAGAGAATGCGAGACTCGTATGATCGATCGAGAAGAGCAACGACAAAAAAAAAGCGCAATGAGTCGAAGAAGAGAAGAGCTAGCTACGAGATAGAGCCTTGGAGGAATTTAGCAGCAGTGGCTGATCGGTTGAGTATCGACGGCAGCTGAAGTAGTGTGGTTGATGATGGTGATTGAAATAATCGGGCATGTCGGGACACTTGTTTTGGCGCGCGCGTGTGCCAAACGCGAAGCGACGTGTCGACGTGTGACGTGCGCCTCTCCTCTCTGCACTAAGACTGCACTCTTAATTCGTATAAATTTTTTAAAAATAATCTATATCACTTGAATACACGCACTCTCAAAATATCCAACAACAACGAACAACAACAACTAACAAACAAACTTTGGCTTTTTTCCTCGACTCAGCGATGTACGAAAAAAAAATATATATAATCGGAGCTGAGAAGAAATCGGCCGAGCGAGAGAGCCGCTTCTCGGTCGGATCGGATCGGTGTTCTGTATGGTGTCCCGTTCTCGTCCGATGCACGTCGAGCACTGACACTCGGTGCTGCTGCAGCGCGTGTGCAAAATGTGCAAAAGGCTGTTAGCCCAGTTTCTCACGCAATGGTACCAGCCAGCCAGCGGTGGCAACGGCAGCGGCAGCGGAGGCAGAGGTGGTGGCTCAACTCCAGCGGCGAGCCTCCTTTCCACAGTTGCCTTGCAGCTCCGATCCTGAGCAGTAGTATGGTTCTCCTATTCGCTCGCACTTATACACATACATACATACACTCACACACATTCGAGCAATTCACATTGCACACTGAAAAAGAGAGAGAGAGAGACGGACAGACAAGCGATCGGCAGGTATGTATGAACACGCTCGACTTGGCCTCCTGCGAGCGCAAAGGCAAGGTAGTACACACACACATACACACGGCGAGCACAGATATATATGTGCTATACATACACGTACACACTCATACAGGTACAATGCACACGCGAATCGCGAGCCAGGTATATAAGACTATAAGAAAATAGTGATAGTGTGAGACACGCACCTGGAGTATGTGCCGTTACCTACTCTCTTTCACTTTTTTCCAATCTCCTTCTCGCTTACTTTCTCTTTCCTCCCTCCCGCGCGCGCGCGTCAAAGTTTTGCGCGCTGTGCTCCTGCTGCCACCGCCACCGCCGCCGCCGACACTGCATGCCGCTGCAGCAGAAAATCGCGACTCTTTATAATATACATCGAAAAACTCCCAGCCGGGAGCTGCGTGTATAGTGCGTTAACTTACGTTATAATACGCGATATGGTGTAAGATGCGATGCTCGTGTCTAAAAGCCGATATTATGAGTGCGAATGGATACCGATTTATACCGATATTTACCGATGATTTTATCTTTAATATTATACTGCAGGACCTTAGAGGTCTTGACGCGAGCTTTTTGAGTATAAATAAGGTTCTAAATTCAAAAAAATCGGTACTTAAGGGTTAGTTTTCAAAAAGATCACATGAGATTCCGAATCCAAGTCGACTCCAACGTTTATTTAGGACTCCTTTTTTATTTTGATTTATTAGGTCTTGAGACTTATATTTAAAAAAAATGTTCCATCAAAAATGTTCAATCTTAAAAAGGGAAGAAAAAGTTTTGTGAAAAATATAAGCAATGAAAAAGTCTGAAAACTGGTAAAAAAATATGCATGAATCTTGGCAAAAAATTTTAGATCATTTCTCCAAGTTCTCAAGAAAATTTTGTTGATAATGCCTTGGTCTCCTTGTAAATATATCATACTGTCGTTTAAAGACCTCAAAAAATTATCTCGATCGTTTTTAACTCACGTTCAGCACGGAAATATCTGACTCGGGGAAAAAAATTCAGAATTATTGCCTTTTAGCGTTTTTTTTACGTCAATGAAACATGTGCGGATCCCGAAAGAATGTTCAAAAAAGTTAACCCTTTCTAAACTACCGATCTTGCCTTTTGTATTTCGTCACATACATGCAGCTGACGACGACTATTTTCGACGCAGCGTCGCACACATTATATTGTATGTATATTGTGCGTCGTAATCGCCACGCAATTCGACGCCACAATATGTAATAATAATTAAGTCGTTTGCATTATATGTTATGTGTGTATGGGCTCGACGCGTGTGCACACACGCCGCCGCCGATGAGCGCCGCAATTGTCTGTAGGTCTACTGCCGCTGCTGCTTCTGTGCTACTGTGCCTGGCTCCGAACGTCTAATTAGAGACTATAAGCACACATACTAACATAGTGCGCACACGTTACATTATATATCTATGTGGGCTCAAGACGCATCGCAGACAGCTCCTTTTAGCTTTTTCTACCTGGTTTCGCTTCGTTTTTTCATTTAATAAGTCCAGCTATGCGCGCGCGCGCACACACACGGGTCGTCGCGCGGGTCTCGCAATAAACTTAGATAATTGCGTAGAGATATATATTTACAGGCGCGCACACACATACACTTAGACAGCCCTGGCGAATTTTTGTGCCAGGCTCGAGTTTATAATGTCGATGCGGCGATAATGACGACCCGTGCGCGATGCCGCGCAATGCCCGTCGCGTACTTATACGAAGAGTTGCGTACTTATATGTGTGTGTATAGCTGCAAGTTCGGACACGCGCTTTCGGCAATTAAACGATCTCATACATACACACACACGCATACGGACCATAAACGAGAAATAGAGAGAGCTAAAAGGATGACGATTGCAACGAATTCATTTGTTGATTGCGACGAATTCGTTTGTCGATTGCGCGAATTTCTGCCGCGCGGGATGAAATTTTAATGGGCGTGGGGAAAAAATCAACTGCCTATACTCGGAATTGTATAACGATATAATAAACATCGAAAAGCTCTCTCTCTCTCTCTCTCGTGAAAATGAAATCATTATTTCGTACGCAGGTGTAATTAATACATCCGCTGCGTGCTGTCGGCACTCGCGTGGCCGGTACGCGGAAAATTTTGATACGTTTGACGAAAAAATAAAAAGAAAACCGCGCGTAGCTGCGACGAAAAAAAATCATCCGGTTCGCCCGAATATAATTAGTCCACCTCATTATCTCGCTTACAGCTGCATTTGGGTGTGTGCGTGTGTGTGTACAGTAACGCATGGCGGGCGAGGAAAAAATGGCCTGCAGGCTAAATCTTATTAGTTAAAAGCCGAACTACACAGCGCGGTATAATATAAATAAAATATCCATCGATATATTTACGATCGCACCAATTGGGATATAAATGTCGTTTTAAAAGGCGACTCGAAACGTTCGAAGATCATCGTAAAAATGACGAGTCGCGCTCGCAATAAATTGTTAAAAAAAATGAATGAAAGAAAGAGAGAAAAACTCGAAAATCAGTCGCCCGAGATACCGCCGGTATAAATTTATTATAACGTTCTATATATCGGTGCGTCGAGCGCGGAATAAATTGGAAAAAGCTATACGTACCGCGTGGTATATATATAATATACATTATAATATAAGCGCATTGGCAATGTTACGTGCTTCGCGGTGGCCGTGCGGCGGTATAGGTAATGTATAGATATAGAGTAAGTGAGAGAGAGAGATCTGCGTCGGCGGGTCGAGCCACGCCGCGCGGCGAAGTGCACTTCGAGAGGGAGTTCGTGTATGCGGCTGGACACTCACACACACACACACACACACACATACACGTACTGTCACTCTGTGCAGTACGGCGGACCGCGTTCGAAATTAGATTGTGCCTGCAAACGTGCATATCTGTCTCTCTCTCTTTTTCTGTGTATGCATAGATAGTACTATTTCTTACACACATAAATGCAATATATATGCCATGGTGTACACACCACGTAGGTCGTAGAGCACTGCCAGCTCGCGAGCTCTTATCTATCGCGGCCTCCAGTATACGTGTGTGTGTGTGTGTGTGTTTTTGTGCGCGGTGGAAGATTTTCGGTCGACGATAATAAAGCCACGACTATAAAGCCCCCCTCCCCGAGCAATACGAAAACGTTGATACACATTATATTTTATATATATGTGTACCAGCGGCGGCGGGGTCTCTCTCTCTCTCTTTTGCGCTCGCGCGCCCGAGTTCAAGGGATATTATATGCATGCTCATGTTGCGGCTGGCTGAAAAAATTGCTCACTCGCGGTTCAATGATTTACTTTCATATTTTTCAGCGACATTCTCGCTCTCGGTGTATAGATATATTATACACTCTCTTTCTATAAAGTTACTCGCACACAGACACACAGACACATACGTACATATATAAAATGCGAAATGTGAATGGATCTCTCGGATTGCGCTGCTGCCGCTGCAGCTGAGAGATCAAGCTCGCGCGCGCGCGGCCTTATATAGGGCGGCATTTGAAACAAATAGAAAAGTTGCGAGCGCGCGCGCGCGTAATTAAAATTTTTCACCAATTGTTACGTCGATGCGCGAACGCGAGAGTTACATTCGTGTATATAATAATATAAATGCAACGGCTGCCGCATTTTACGGCTCGTTTATCTGTCACTCGAGTGCAGCGAGAATCGAGAGAGAGAGAGAGAAATTATCGATTAATGCGGGATATATAAGCGCGCGAATATGCCTACAGCACGATTTTACACACAATATAATAATAGATACGTATCGGGAGTGTAACGTGTTGTACGGCACAGCAGCGGATTATTTTATCATTATTAATAAAATTTTTGCGTGCCTATACTGCAGAGCCGTGTGTCAGCCTGCGCGCGCGCTCGATTCCAAGGTTTGAAGGCCGTACCTTTCAGCGTGTACACGTATTATTCTATACGTATACGTGTATAACACGGGTAGAAACGAGCCGACAGAACAGTATTATACCCTTTACGGCGTTCGAGTACGTTGAAAAAAAACTACGCGTGTTGCCGATTGTTTTCTAAAAAGTGAGAAAAAAAGAATAAATAAAGGACGAAGAATGAGAAAGAAACGCGCATATTGCCGCATATGCATGGCAGTAATTCGGCCACGTAAGCTCTCTCTCTCTCTCTCTCTCTCAATATAATACACGCAAAACAAATACATAATGGTGCGAAAAAAGTCAGGTGCTGCTGTTGCTGCTGCTGTGCCGCGCAGTTAATACTGACTCGTATCACTTGAGCCCCGCCGTTGTACATAATGTAATTCTCGATTTTCGGGGGTCCCCCTTTTTCTCACACATCGAGAGTATACTTATGTACTCGAGCCGCAATAGGCGCTTATAAGTTGCGCCGATCTGTGCAAGCACACAGCTGCCGTCGACGCAGTTACCCGCGCGCTCGTTGCATTGACCAATTTTACGGCGAGCTCTTTGGTCAATTCCGGGGGCCCGCGAAATGAGAGATATCGCGTGATGTGGTGCGCAGCAGCTATACAACAACAAGGATTTGACGTTTTTCATTTTGTTTTTCTCGCGGGCGCGATTTCTATCTCGCACTCTCTCCCTCGCTCACGTGTCTTTCGTTTGAAGTTGCCACAGAGAGAAAAGAAAGAGAGAAAGAAAGAATCGAATATACGTGTTTACTCCTTTTGCGGACTCATTGACTGGCTTGCAAAGGGCTCGTCGGACGTTATACCGTCACGTAATGAGTGCCAGGCGCGCGAAACAAAACGAGGCGAGTATGTGTGAGTGTGTGTGTGGAGTTACGGCACCATACGTAATTTTCACAATGTGCCGATCTCGAGCGCCTGATCGGATCGGATCGGACGAAACAAAACGTGTATAGCGCGTTATAAACGATCGACTTTTACGATTACACGCGCTGTATACACACACACACACACAACGTGTGGGGATATAGAAAATAAATCTGTAAAGCGCACGACGTGTTATCGCGCGCATTCCCATCTGTATATAAAGGATGAATGTGTTAGCGCGCGAGCTCAAGAGTCCAAACGCACACACAGACATACGTACATTCAGAATAACAGATTATAATAGAAGAAGGAATGCAGCGTGTGATCACGACTTTGGTCGAGCATGGCAAAACTCGTATGCATGCGACGACTGGACCTCCGCGCATATCTTTAAATGAGTCGACTGTCTCCGAGCCGTTGTGGATATTAATGTGCGTTTGCGCGGCCTATAGCATAATTATAAATGTCTCGAAGGTATACGTGAGCAGTTCGGACCTAATACCAGTCATACATGCAATATCACATTTGGATTTGGAACGTGCGGTATAATAGCCAACGCGATGGCGCGCCGCGGCCGAGAGTCCGGCTGGCAACGGCATATCAGCTACACAGAGTAGTTCCCCACCCGGTATTTTCTTTCTCCTCTAAATGTGCACCGCCATGGCGCACAATGTGCCATGTGAGCGACACAATACGTGCAGTCATGGTGTCTGTCTCTTTATACTTGTGTATCTGTACGTAAGTATGTCTGTGTGTGTGTGGCCTGCAGCAGCTATACATACGTAAGCGCGCGCATTGAGAAAAGAGAGGCCGCCGCCGCCTGCATAGCACGTTCCCCCGCTGAGACTCGAGCCAGCTTTATACGTATAGCTCTCTTTCATATATTGCGCAATTTTTCGCGTCGAGCTGCAAAAAGTCCTGCCACAGTGTGTGTATATCGTACGCTTATAGATATCGCCGTCCGATCGAGCTTCCAAGTACTACTATAGGCCACTTATACTACTGTATACGCCAAGCACAGAGCATATACATTGTATATGGGTCAAAATAATACTTTTTTACAAAACCGTGCGCACGTATGTCACCGATCTTGACGCGCTTTTGGTATGTTATAGTACATGGTAAAAAGGTCCCAAAAAAAAATTTTTAGACCCCCTCCCCCCTCCTACCCCCCACTTCCGGTATAAACGTCCATTTTCGATCTATATTTTTTCTGAGGACATGAAGCAAGTAAAAAATCTGAAAAAATTCATAAAAATACTTTTCCACAATCCAAACAACCTTGAATTTTTTCAGATTTTTTGAGTGCTTCAGGCCTTCAGATAAAATCATTGAAAATTTCAAAAATCGAGATACGGCGGTATGAGCCGATGTAGTACTCGGAAATTTTTTCAGTTATTTTTCGCATTAAAAAACATAACCTCAATTTTTTTCAGATTTTTTCAGATTACCTAACGCACCTTTTGAAGCCAAAAACCGATTTTTTTGACGAAAATAATTTTTTTAGGACAGTACGGAGCCTCGAAAAATCTGAAAAAAATTTTTTCTTGTTTTTTTCATCAAAATACGTAATCTCAAATTTTTTCAGATTTTTTAATTGAAGGCGATAGCTTCTAGGGCCGAAAAATGCTATTTTTAACAAAAAATGGTTCCTAGAACCCGATGGTTCCGGTGAAAAAATTTGAAAATATTTTTTTTGAATTCCTTGTCAAATTTTAATAAATTTTGACCGTTTCAAAAGTTCGATTGAAGCTTCCTAGCTCATTTTAGAGCAGGACAAAGATTAGTGCAAAATATCTGAAGACGTTTCTGAAGACATTAAGGAATGATAAAACTCGTTTGATGCTCTAAAATGAGCTAGGAAGCTTCAATCGAACTTTTGAAACGGTCAAAATTTATTAAAATTTGACAAGGAATTCAAAAAAAATATTTTCAAATTTTTTCACCGGAACCATCGGGTTCTAGGAACCATTTTTTGTTAAAAATAGCATTTTTCGGCCCTAGAAGCTATCGCCTTCAATTAAAAAATCTGAAAAAATTTGAGATTACGTATTTTGATGAAAAAAACAAGAAAAAATTTTTTTCAGATTTTTCGAGGCTCCGTACTGTCCTAAAAAAATTATTTTCGTCAAAAAAATCGGTTTTTGGCTTCAAAAGGTGCGTTAGGTAATCTGAAAAAATCTGAAAAAAATTGAGGTTATGTTTTTTAATGCGAAAAATAACTGAAAAAATTTCCGAGTACTACATCGGCTCATACCGCCGTATCTCGATTTTTGAAATTTTCAATGATTTTATCTGAAGGCCTGAAGCACTCAAAAAATCTGAAAAAATTCAAGGTTGTTTGGATTGTGGAAAAGTATTTTTATGAATTTTTTCAGATTTTTTACTTGCTTCATGTCCTCAGAAAAAATATAGATCGAAAATGGACGTTTATACCGGAAGTGGGGGGCAGGAGGGGGGAGGGGGTCTAAAAATTTTTTTTTGGGACCTTTTTACCATGTACTATAACATACCAAAAGCGCGTCAAGATCGGTGACATACGTGCGCACGGTTTTGTAAAAAAGTATTATTTTGACCCATATATATACGCGCGAAAGTGCAGGAGCCGTGTGCGCAGCGCTCATAATACGTTATAATATCCTCCCGCTGCAGTCGCATGAGGATTATTACATTATTATAATGCATTATATATTGTGTGTCATATTATGTATAGGATAAAGACAGTTCGGAGCTGCGGTAAAGCTTGCGCACGACCACGACGACAGCGACAAGTAATAATATGTTTATATTTCTCCGATAATGTACACATTACATATTGTTTTTCACCTGGGTGCAATCTCGTGTATACGTGCATACAAGCGAACGAGTATCAAGTTCATTATAAACCGAGAGTGAAACCGATCTCCGGTCTCCAATCAGAATCACGTATTCCGATACGTTTATGTCTATGTATAGCTCAATACACCGTATATATACGTATGTATACTCGCGCGCGTGCTTGCGATAGGATACATGCATACATATGCACACACACAAGTGGAGAAGCGATGATAATCGCTGGAATTTTCGCGGAAACTTTTACGCTCGCGTCGATATGCAGTGCAAATGAATTACCCAGGGGGTGGGAGGAGGGAAATCCGGATGTGCGGCATCCGATATCTCGTCTGTATCGTACCCTTATGTATCAATACACGCGGGCATGTGTGTAAGTACATATATACAAGTAGAGATTCGTTATAATATATGCTTTACATCGTCGCTGTCTGACTACCAGCAGCAGCAGCAGCAGTAGCCGATCCGCTTTCAAATGAGAAATCCAATGGGAAATCAATCAAATGCCATCGATTCCGTCTCTTCGTCTATCCTATCCCGGCACGAGAGAGAGAGAGAGACGGACAGAGAAAACTAGCTATACTACGTATCGTCGATCAAAAAAAAAAACCAAACTTACGCGGCTGTATGTATGCTATTTATACCTGTGTAGTGTGTGTATATAAGGTGTACGTCGTTATCCAAAATCCTATTTGGAGCTATTCGCGTTGTCGTCGCCGTTATAACTTATGCCGTATAATATTACCTGCTGTTGGCTGCTGCTGTTGCCGCGGCAAGTATACGTTAATTGAGGTTCGTGTTTCGGGAAGGATTTAATACGCCGATAATGCACTTTTCTCTCTCTCTCTTTCTCTCCTCTCTCACTCTTCCTCTCGTTTGCTCTCGCGCGGCAACGAGACTGTCTCATTTTATAACGCTCGCGCGCAGAGTAGAAAATATTTAAGTATATCCCGAGCCGTGTACACGAGATATTTACGATCGCAATTTTTCGGGTCCCGCGTTCGCAAAGCAAAACAATATAATAATGTGTCGCAGCAGCTGAGAAGCAACTTTAAATGAGAACCCACACACGTGATCA